GTCATGAAGAATGAGAATAATCTGATTTATGTGTTTGATCAACAATAAATTGGGGGGTGGATAGCAGAAATAACAAGATGGAAGTGTGATTGTGTGGGACGGAGAATTCATTAATAATATTCGTTGCATGTGTTTTACTCTTCTTCTGTAATCATCTCCATTATCAATCTTTCAAGATCCGGCATGAGGGCATTGAAAAGTGGGATTTGTAGTTCATTTATTGGGCCGATGCATTCATGCCCAGAATATGTCCTTTGCATTCACGTTAGGGTACTTGATTGCAATACCTCCTTCCATGAATGGCAGGAGTGTACTTGTCACGGTATTCCATATGTTGCCCTTTACAGGCACCGAGGGAAATGTCTATCCTATTTATCCTATTGATATCACCGACCGCAGAAGTGGATAGACAAATCTTATTGCTCGTGGTTGTGCTCTCTTTCGATCTCCTGTTCTTTTGGGTGGCCATAGTATGACTCCTACTGCTGCAACTAATGCTTCTCCTCTAATCATTACGAGACAGGTTTTATTTCAGATGAGAAGCTTCAATGTTCCGATCCAAAGCTCCCCAGGAGTGAGGTAGCCAAGTAGCAGTTGGTGTGAAAAAGTAATATCTGGTCACTCCAGGTGTTTCTTATGTTAATATATAGCATGAGTCTCGCTCATCCCTCGGAGGCTGGATGCGAAAATTGCAGGGGAGTCTCTGGTGGCAGCAGGACTCGGTCTAGAAGGCAGCCTCTAACCAAGGCAAGGTTTATCTTGGTTATTATCCCTTTCCATTGCTGCGTCCTCGTTTAATTCCACAATTCATATGGCCAACTTGAGTGCACAGAAGGTTGTTGCTGTTGCCCTCCAAAGACCATGAAAATGAACCAACGATCTAGGATAAAAGACGAGGTATCCAATGAATTCGACCCAAAGAGCTAATACATGCCATCAATGCGGTCGCTGGTGTTTATGGGCCACTGAGTAGTGCAGGGAACTTGGTCACTGGGAGCTAATAATACATGCATCTGGATGATAATGGATTGACTCTTAGAATGTCGTGGTCTTTGACCAACTTTGGTAGCCAGAGATTTGTCACACTCAAAATGTCTTCCACCGTCGACCATGACATGGCTGCTTGCAGATAGGGACGATTCCTCTGTTCTGCATCCATCCTTGTTGCAGGACATCTTTTAGCTCATATAGCATTCAAACCTATAAAGCATCGTTTTGTGTTAGCCAGGAGTCGTGCATTTTTCGAACACGAACTGCCGCACGAACATGCACTGTTACAGTTATCTTAATCTTGATGGAAACTCAATTTAATTACGGTTTCTGAATTAAAGAGTTTAGAATGCTAAGTTTTGGGCTTCCATGGCACTTTGATTGCATCCATCATAGCAGCCAAGGCAGTAACCAGGTTACAGTTCAGATGAGAGGCATATTGCACGTCGTTTTGATCAATTAGGACTAGAAACAGAACGTGACATAAGAGGATTACTTACGTGACCTCCCATAAGATAAAAGGTCGATCGCCATTCTCACAAACGCAAAAAAGAGTTGGGACAAGGTTGGGACCTACCTTACTTGCTATTGCCATGTTTGGTTTAAGGCACCAAGGAATAATTATTTGTCTACTGGCTAGCCCGTCATTGCAGCCCCACCACGTGGGAGTGGTAGAGCCCAAGACCGGCGATACACTTATGCTCAAGCCCATCCTTTGCAAACAATCAAGTTTTATAAGGTCGAGCATAGACTAGGGAATCGAACTTGTGACCATCGACTTCCAAATCAAGTCTTGGACGTTGGACCACCCCACCAACTTGTAATAGTACTGAAAATGATCTCGCAGCTGAATGTAACAGGTCTCAAAAAGAATGAAGAGGTGGCCACAAACTTTTGTCTCAAAAGCGAAGAGGGATATGTTAACGTCAAGTTTCATGTGCATTCATAGCATCCGAAAATAAAAGCTGAAAGAAAATAGCCAGCATCACGATCTCTCTCTCTCTCTCTCTCTCTCTCTCATGTGGGGGCCGCAAGACTAGATGCGAAAGACCCATCACAGGAACAAGGAAAAAGATGTGAAGAAAGCAGTGGGATTACATTCAAAAGGAGTCACAGTTCCCAGCAAATGCTGATAGAAACTGCTCATAAGGTTTTGACAATGCCAGCGGAATGATAGAGAGGTACATGGAGCCCGTTGAAAAAATACCATATCCTGTAACTGTGGAGTTTACCAGGCAGGATGTTGAGAGAGCGAGAGAGAGAGAGGGCGCCGTGTGCGTGTGCGCCAATTAGTTCCCATGAGTCTTACGAATGTAACACTGCCACACCAACTAATAGGTGGGGTCAACTCTCTCCTGTAAAGATCCTTTTTACCGGGAAATTGGCCCTAGTACTTTTTTGTTGAATAGTTTCAACTTTTTTGGTGTCTCGTTTTATCTTGCTGGAAATGATTGGTGCTAGCATGTTTCCTCTCTCTGCTCTAATATGCAGAGCAAGTGGACTGTGTGTACAATATGCATGTCCCAGCACTTTCTACTGGGCTTAATGATCTGGAAAGACTGTAGAATGTGTCCCCAGCTGATCACCGGACCATTTGATTCTCGCCCGAATTCGTTGATGTTTTGCTCTCCACTCACTGCTATGGAATGTGACAACTCTTACTTCTTAAGAAGGGACTCAGGACCACCTCTCTCTCTCTCTCTCTCTCTCTCTCTCTCTCTCTCTCTCTCTCTCTCTCTCTCTCTCTCTCTCTCTCTCAGTTAAAAACCCCTTTCAAGCACAAAAGTTTTCTCTTGCCCAGCTTTTCATTGAAAATCTTCACGAAACTTCAAGTGCAACAGTCCTTTGCTACTTTAGGCAATGTAGCATTGAAAGCTTCGGAAATCATGATATCAGGCATGTCATGAAGAAATAATGAAATCAATTTGATGCATAGTCTTCAGTTTTCACATTATATGTTTGTTCCTAAAGGTGCAATGTCCCTGTAGTATAGTCAAGAATTAACAGCTAGGACATACTGCTGTAAACATTTTCATAATAACTTTTGAGTCCTTCATTCATTCATTGCAAATGAATATCCATTTTAAGGTGGGTACTTCCTGAAATGATGGTGACAGTTAGTCGAAGGTAATTGAATTTTCATTGTTGTGGAATCCAAGGCCTTCTTTACGGCATCGTATGAGTTTTCATAATCGGAAGTAACACGTGTTTAGCACATCATTCCATGCCATTGTTTAGAGTCGAACCCTTTTAAGAAGTACCTAAGATGAAATTTTGGTTTATAGTATATACTCAAGACAAATCTTGAATATGATTCCTAAACTCCTTTCTTTCTGAGTTTTAGTTTTTCCCTTTTACTATGATAATTGAGTGCTGTCAGCATGGCCTAAATGATAAAAGATCAAATAGGCACTCACACACAAGCAATATACATGGGGCTTTATCTGTATGAAGAGCAATCCTGGCTAATCGAAAGGGATCAACATCCAAATTTTTACTGTGACCTACGAGTTACGAATGACAAGCTACTTGCACAAACACTTTGCACTGCCATGGCATTCAACACCAAGTTGATTGAGAGGAAAGCATAAATATCTACAACCTATCTTCATTTTTCTTTTAATTTACGCGTACCAGCAAGATCTGGTCAGTTCCATAGAAGGAAACTGTTCTTCCCTAGTGTTTTACCACTTAGCTGGACTTCTCTGTTGGCACAGAAAATTCCTAAAACTACTGATACTCAGAGAAATGTGCTGGTATGAGTTGTATCTGCCCCAGATATAAATGGGCATATTGCTGTCTTGGCATCTTTTTTTCCCGACTGTTTCCAAATTGTTCCAACAAGAAGAAAGTAAATGTGCCAGGACACAGAGCTAATTAACAGCTCACCATTTGTGAAAGTTCTTGGTGCACATGAATCTTGAAGATAAAAGAAGGCCGGTGTGGACGGACGACCCTAGTAGTCGGGTGATCTCATTATTGAGCAAAACACAGAAATGCCTTCGACCCGTTTTACTGATTCTTGAGTAAGCAGAATCTTTGATGCTTGAATGGGGAGACTCTGAATTCTCATAGGTCCGCCGATTAAGTAATTCGAAAAATCAAGAGAGTGATACCATATCCAAAGGTTTTAGGCCAAAACATACCTGTTCATCGGATACATAACTTGTTCTACACACAAAAAATGATCATCGGCGAGAAATCTTTATCTTATGTTGACATTACCGATACCCTCTCCCAGTCTCTCAAAGTCGTTTACTTGAAGCAATTACATCGAATCACCATGGTGAAGTTCAGGAGTGAACATGATTATATACTGTTAGATAAGAGTAACATGAGAAGAATGGATCACGAGATTCTGATTGGCTCTCACGATTCCTATGCAATCTTCTTGTGAATGTTTGGCAATACAAACGAGGGAACCAAAAAGCCAATCTTTAAATTGTACGAAATTAGTACCTGAACAGAATCCGACCAATCATTTTACGTGACATATAGTATTTGCAGCTTTCTACGTACTTTCCCCCTTCCGGTGGTTCTTTACGCCAGTAGAAAATTAGATGATCTTGACATCACGTGTGGTTCTTGATCCGATCTTTTCATGTTTTGCCATTGAATAGAGTTCTGTGGAATCTCTTGAGCTGACTAATTGTATTTTGATAATCCTTTGTCTGGGACATCGTAGTAGATAGACAAATCAAAAACTGGTTGTCGAGCCGCCCAATTTATTCTTTCAATCTATTCTCTGCTATGTCAAATCGATTATAGATCAAGAAAGGAGGGGGGCTTAGATACGTTTCCACGAGAATTGATATGATTATTCATGTAAAATATCGTGATTTGTCATGTCAAACATGCGAAATATAAGATAATTTTAAGTGCTCTAGAAGCACAACGCACCCATCTACCCCGCCCGACCCCGAGTCAGTCACTATCAGGTGATCAAGCGGTTATAAATTTCTTATTTCTCTCGAAATAATAATAATAACTGACCATACATGAATGTAGAGACACCATGGTATAATGGGAGGCTTACAAATACCCCCTTCTTGTATAGAATGACTCTAAAGCAATAGTTTCAGCCACGAGAGTGGGTGACAGAGAAAGAGAGAGAGTCTTGTATTGCCTTCCTGAGAGAGTCTTCAGGTGTCTTTCATCTTGCTGAGGTAGAAACAATGGAATCACCACCGATCAGTCCGGCGATGGTATCATCAGCATCAGCCAAGGATGTCACGTCAGAGCCCAACGGTAATGCAAAAGAGTGGCACAGCCGGCGCTGGATGTGGGGAGGGCCGATAAGCCTCCACAGAATCCTGTGCATGCAAGGCGGCGACGACGATGGGAGCTATGCCAAGAACTCAGACGCGCCCGCGTCTGCAATCACCCTGTCGAAGCCCTTGCTCTTGAATGCTATTCAGTCCATGAAGCTCTTCCTCACATCCAAGCACGACGATTCGTTGAGGATAGCCGATCTAGGCTGCGCCACGGGGTACAACACGTTGGCCACGGTCAACATGGTCGTGGAGGGCCTGAGGAAGAGGTACGCGGAGGAGCTGGGTTTCGAGCCCGAGTTCGAGGCCTTCTTCTCCGACCTCCCCTCAAACGATTTCAACTACCTGTTCAGGACGTTGAGTGGGGTGGTGTCCGCCGATTGTACTAGAGAGAGAAGCAGGCACCGCTACTTTGCAGCCGGCGTGCCCGGGTCGTTCTATCACCGCCTCTTCCCGAGGGCAAAGCTTCATGTGGCCGTGAGCTTGAGCGCCTTGCACTGGCTCTCTCAGGTGATGATATTTCTACACTCTTACCTACTTTGCGCACGCGCTCTCTCTCTTTGACGGGTAATGTTCCATTCATTGGCATGGTATAGGGCGTTTAAATCATCAATCTGATTTTACCATCTGAAGTCGTCATAGCTTCCCTTATTGTCACTGTACTTCATAATCCTCCAAGCGTTTGCATCCTTCCAGTGGCCTGGAAAATCCGTTCAGTGCGTATCGTTAAGTTGCCTCAGCTCATCCATTACAGTTAGGGCTATCGCTACGGACGTAGAAATTTAGATTGAGGAGCAAAATCAAAAGAAAGTAGCCGCAATACCCTAGCCTCGGACGAAACATGATTAACTTCACATGAAATTTCATAGATTAAAGTACATATACAAAAAGCATTTGTCGGTTAAACATTGAAGCGAATATCGAGTGGCCAAGGAGATCGACAGCCCTCGCCAGCCTCCAAGCTTTGGTCGGGAAAATCACGTGTAACTCTGAGCAAAAATAACAAGAACAATTTTCACGTTTCTTCTCCTCCTTGCTTTCTTTTTAAAGGGGCATTCTGTGATCCTTCCGGCACTGATCCCCTTGTCGTACCAACGTATATTTTATCTTAACCCTGTATGAAATACCGTAACACACAGACATTTAGAGAAGGTTCATGGTTAAGAATGGGTGGGATTAATGGAAACCTAACGGCATCACTTCTGGTGAGTATCTGACCAATTATAAGAAATCCACCATATTTTTTCAAGTTTGCAGGAACATATCTCATGAACTCGTCTCTCTTTAGGCAGATACCGGAAGAAGTCACGAACAAGAGCTCACCGGCGTGGAACAAGGGAAGAGCATGGATCGATGGGGCCAAGGACGCGGTGTTGGAGGCCTACGCGAGGCGGTCTGAGGAGGACCTGGACGACTTCTTGCGATGCCGGAAGGAGGAGATCGCGGAAGGCGGGATACTGTTCGTGCTGATGGGAGGGCGGCCGAGCTCTCAGCAGCCCCGCAACCAGCTGGGCGATCCGGACTCGAGGGACAAGCACCCCTTCACCACCTCCATGGACCAAGCTTGGCAGGACCTCCTGGATGAGGTATGTTCCACACGTACGGACAATTTACTAGTTGTGACATATACGTCGTCGTCATCGTGATGCTGCGCGCACGATCCATACGCGGCCTTATCTCTTGCCGTTTCACGTCGAGCTTAAAGACATTCGTACGCGCATCATCACCGTGTCTTCTACCGCAACTGCAATGCGATATCCCTCCTCGCTTTCTCCAACTTCGTAACCGGCATGACATAAGAACAATTACACTTTCCTTAGCTATTTTTAGGAGTCCCTCTGCTCTCTGTATGCTATGCATTGTCAATCGCACAATGTTTTCTTTTGTTATTCTAGGTTTTTCTTTCGTGGGGTGCATGGATATATGACTAGATATATGCTGCGAAATGGCTTCAACTTTTTTTCTTTTTCAAAAATTGGAGTATTATTTAATGTGAAGTATCCGAAATCTTTCAAAATGTAAAGATAATTGCGATAGCATTGATATAGGATTCTTCATGATTTTTAATTACTACATCAAAAAATCAATACATTTTTTTTTATTTTGAAAAATCAAAAGAAACGGGCTTTCGGAAGGCAAAAGGAAGGAATTGTACAAGAATTTCGAAAACTATAGTATATAGAAACTAAAAATTACACTGAGCATCCAGTAGCCAGGGCGAGGCGGCGCTTGCCAACCTCGCCTATTGGCTCCATCATCGGTGGCTACCCAAGCATAATGGATTGATATTCGAGTCTCACCTGTAAGGTAACAAACATGGTGATGTACTCACCATCTTATACCCGGCCATCATTGAGATAATTATCCAAAAATAACTAATCCTATTGTGCGGTCGTCAATTCTGTCATAATTTTTCAATTTGGTCAATTGAGTTCTAAACCTTTTGATAATTTTCCAATATAGTCATTCCATTCAATTGTCTGAAAATCGCTAACGTGGCGTTCTAGTTAGCACCGGCCAAGGCGTCGCGGCCCTTTATCTCTGGCAGGCAACCGGTGGAAGGAAATTAACAAAAAAAGGTAACAAAGAAAGGAAAGAAAAGAAACCTGAAAAAAAAACTAAATTCAGAATTTAAAAAAAATTACAAAAAATTGCCACATTAGCCATGGCCGGTGCTGACTGGATCGTTATGTTAGTGATTTCCAGTCAAAATTGTCCGGAAAGACTTTAATGAAAAATTATCAAAAGGTTTAGGATTACATTGGTTAAATTAAAAAGTCTAGGATTGAATTAGTGGCCGTCCAATAGGTTTAAGACTTTTTGGATAATTTTCCCGTCATCATATATAGATAACCTATATGTGTTTTCATACGTTCTCGAATTGTTTCAATTAAAATTTGGCAATTTCGTTTGAAAAAAGGGCTTGATAGATGAAGAGACAAGAGATGGGTTCAACATCCCGGCGTACATGAGGAGCACGGAGGAAGTGGAGAGGGCAATGGCCAAGTGCGGCGGGTTCGAGATCCAGAGGATGGAGTACCGGAGGATCCGAGAGCACTCCGAGGAGAAGCAAGAGGAGTGTGCCCAAGACCCGGCCTCGTACGGCCGGTCCAAGGCCAACCTGGTCAGGGCCACCCTCGGGCCCATTGTCGAGGCCCACCTTGGCCGGCCCCTCGCCTGCGAGCTCTTCGACCGTTTCCAAAGGCGGGTCGCCGCCGATCTCGGCCTCCTCACGAAGACCTGCTTCTACGGCGTCATTGTGTTGTGTGCTATCCGAAAATGAGAAGACGGTCGAGCTTGGGTTTACACGGGTCACGAACCGTGTAATATTCATTTTTCAAGAGAGAGACTATAATGTCGGAATTCGAGAAAAAGAAATGGCAAATTAATCTTCTCTTCTCTTTTTTCTTTTTTTAAAATTTGTGGAGGGATGCAAATGTCATCTGTTTGCTCTTTTTAGCTTCTATTCTATGCAACATTATATCCTTGGATGAATCGACTGTCTTCTTTCGTTAGAAATAAAATATTCATTTCAAAACAGAACATTACAAATTAGATACAATATTTACATTAGAACGATAAGTAAAAGAAGATTCTACCAATACAATATTTTCAACTCTAGACAGGGAAATTATAAGTCTTGGAGATGGAAAACACTTTTAAAAAGTCGAGGGTGGATTTCGGTATTATCGTACATGGAAATTGAAATAGCTAGGAAATAAATTGGATTTTTAGTAATCATGAAAAACCATGAATTATGCTTATTTTATCAAAATAAGGCAAACTCTTGAATCTATCATTGCAAGGTAAGAGCTACTTGTTTTGTATCGAAAATAGCACAGCTATTAATGCTAAGAAACCAGTTTTCTTGCCTTTGAGGTTTTTTTTTTTAGGGATATGTTCACTAGAAGTCCTAAAACTTGTCAGGAAAGTGCAATTGAGTCCTAAAACTTGCAAAAAGTGCAATCTAATATTAAAACTTGTCAAATTGGTTCAATCGAGTCCTAAATTTAACACCGTCTAATTTGACTAACGAAAAAGGCTAATGTGGCAATGACGTGGCTTATTATTATTATTTCAATATTAATTTTATTTAAATTATATTTAAAAAATAAGCCAAATTTAAAATAAATAAAAAAGTGAAGGAGGAGGCGGACAGGCGGGGATGGCTCCTCCCTTTTTTTGTAATTTTTTTTTTTAAATTTTTAATTTTTCTTATTTTTATATTTAATTTAAATAAAATTAGTATTAAAAATCAAATTTGAGCCAAAACGACGTCTTTTTAGCCACATAGGAGAGAGAAAGTATTAAAATAAGCCATGTCAGTGCCATGCCAACATTTTCCGTTAGTAAATTTGACGGTGTTAATTTTAGGACTCATTTGAATCAATTTGACAAGTTTTAGGACTTGATTGTATTTTTTGCAAGTTTTAGGACTCAATTACCATTCGTGACAAGTTTTAGAACTTCTAGTAAACATATCTCTTTTTTTTATATTACAAGAAGGGGAAAAAATTACACAAACGGTGCTAAACCTATTGTGTATATGCTAATTCGATCATAAACTCTTCAATTATGCCCATTTAGTCCTAAACCTTGACGCGAATTATCAACATTGTCCTTCCGATCAATTGTTATCGGAAATCGCAAGCATAGTAGTCTAGTCATCGTCGGACGTCTTACGTGACATACCACCTCATCAGTAATTTATAGGAAAAATCGAGCGGAAGGACTAAATTAAAATTTTGTGCAAAGGTTTAGGACTAAATTGGCAAAATTGAAAAGTTTAGGACTGAATTAGTATCTATGCAGCACGTTGTATAGGATAAAAATACCCCTATAAGTTTGAAGAAAGTAACAACATTTTGATTTCTTAAAAAACAGGAAGATATATAACAACCCATCGACTTTCATGGTCATATTCATGAGTTAAAAACATTTGATTCCCCCCTCATGCATCTTGTCACTTCCCAATTATGATCAAATTAATATAGAAATTCCAAAAAATGATTAAAAAGACCTGCTCATTAATATTTTTAAATCACCAAGAAAAGAATCATTCCTAATAGATTGTGGTATCAATTGAGAAAAATGATCTTTAGCGCTTTTTCTTGGAAAAAGTACTGGAAAAGTCCTAAATATATTACATTAATACCAAATTTAGTTTTAAACCTTTTCACATTGGTCCGGCCAATTTGGAAAGAAAATCACTGATATGGTGTTGGCCATTCGATGTGGACATTTTAAATAATATTTTAATATTTTTTGATTTTTTTCTTTTTCCTTTCATTTTTTCTGTTCATTTTGGCCAGTGAGGGTCGCCGGCGACCCTTGCCCAAGGCCTTTGAGGCCCCGCTAGTCTAGGCGAACAGCCCTTGCCCAAATCTAGCGAGGGCCAGCAATGAGAACTTGCTAGCCCTCGCCGGCCAAAATGAAGGAAAAAAAGAAAGAAAAAAGAAAAAGTAATATAAAATAAAATAAAAGAACAAAAAAAATAAAAAAATTATTTAAATATCATTTGAAAATATCTGCATCAGCGCCGGCCGTGCCACGTAGGACGGTCGGCGTCCACGTCAGCAATATCTGGCCTCAATTGGCCAGATGGACTGAATCAATACCGATGTGAAAAGATCTAAAAGACTAAATTAGTTCAATTGGAATGTTTATGACCGAATTAATATCGGTGCAATAAGCTGAGGACTTTTTTTGGTACTTTTCCCCATTTCTCTTCTATTTTGTCGGAGAATCTCCAGCCTCCGATATTAGTTCGAACATCTAGAATTTAACAAGTTCAAGATTAGATTTGCTTCCGAGAAAATAATTCTCAAATTTTTCTCAATCTTAGGATCAGTTCTTCCAATCCTTTGGAGTAACTTTCCATCTCTATGGTTCCCTACTCGTTCCATGGTCTAAATGCAGACAGTTTGGATTAGGACAATCAGTCATCAAAAGCCTGTATTATGAGCGCTCTCAATTCTTCGACCTAATGTCAAGGTCCTGTAATACTAGATTACAACTATCTCTTCTTCAAGAAGACATAAGATAGTGCAATTTACAGACATATACCTTCATAATCTCGGCTTTCCTCTTCAGACAAGCCTTTCCGTCGCCAGTAATAGGAAATTCTTTTGTGCTTTTGGATTGCCTCTACCTTACTCCTCTCGAGGTTACAAATTAGGACTCCTCACTTGCAAACTGTTGTGAACACGCACATTCAAGGTATACAGGACAGTAAAATTACGTTTTCCTACGTTCATTTCACTTGTCAACTAACCTTTGCCATCTCGAGAAAAGAGATACTTCATGTCATATACTAACGTCGTGAGTGTCATATCAGTCAATCCATCAGAAGATTGGCCAGGGGCTTGCTTTACATGTCGGGTTGGACTTTCTTGGGCCTTCCTTGCCGCAAGATGGCTGATCTTGGACTGCAGCAATCTTCTTCCAGGCTCTAAAGATATCAGTCCTGGAATCCAAGCTCTGATCTCTGTCCTAAAACTTGGTGAGTAGATCCACAACTCTCTCCCATCCCCTCTTATGCGTTTTGGTCTTCGAAACTTGAATAACCACTGAGCACGATGACGAAAGTTCCTCAATCACCGAGTGAGCAAATAATTGCTTTGGTTATACCTATTACATGCTCCAGGACAGCATTAAAGAACTCAACTTCAGTCACCTTGTGCTGCATTTCATGTTTTTTTTTTTGTTTGATTTGGTCCTACAGATGCCGTCCCATTGGCATCATCGTTGGCGGCTAGCCAAGCGTAACGAATCCATATTCTGGTCTTTCAACAGTAACAAACACGGTGGTTAATCACCATCTCGTACTCGACAATCATCTTATAGTTAACACATGCATTTTTCATCTTTTCTCAAATTGTTTCAGCAAATAGTTTGCAGTTTTAGTGAAAAAGGGCTTGCTACACGAAGAGAGAAGAGATGACTTCAACATCCTGGCGTAGGAACATGGAGGAAGTGAAGAATCGGAGGATCAAAGAGCACTTTGAGGAGAAGCAAGAGGAGTGACTTGAGACCCGCCTTCCCACAGCGGTTCAAGGCCAACCTCACCAGGGAACACACTCGGGCTCGTCGTCAAGGCGCACCTCTGACCGTCCCCCTCCCACGAGCTCTTCGGCTGTTTCGAGAGACGGGTCTCCTCCGATCTGAGCCTCCTCACGATAACTTCCTTCGATGGGTTCATTGTGGTTTGTGCCATCCGGATATGAAAATGATCGGGCTTGATCTACATGATTTCTAGACCAGCTTAATATTCATTTTTCGAGAGAGACTATAAGGCCAACATATCCATAAAAATCTAATATTCAATCAAAATGTGATAATATAATAGGACCACGGATGTGTGGAAAATGAAAAATACAAATCTCATTGTTTTTTTCTGTATTCATGAGGAAGAGAATCAATTTTAAATGCTTAATTAATTTGATATAAGAAAGCATAATTTCCAAAAAGGTAGTTGAAGAGCGGCATAGTAGTTAAGCACGAGACAATTCAGACAAATTTCCATGTTCCTAGAATATTCAAAATGATAGGTACGTAGGGCTATTGCTCTAATTTGGAGTCGGAATCTATCGATTCACTGTCATGTCATAGATTCTATGTTCAGACATATCATGCCCAATTTTGTGACCATACATTAAATTAGATTTGATTTGATTAGATTAGATTACAGACCGATTAAAGAATGAGATTGACACCCGGCAGAACAGAAGAGAACGAAGCCAAAATGAAACAGAGATCAGAAAATTGTATTAGAGTTCACAAATGCTCAGTAAATCTCGAAAAGTGGCTCGACACATTCACTCTCTCTACTGCCACCACTTTTGTTTCTAGTTACGAGATTCTCGTGACAAAGCAAACACTTTAGATGGTGTAAGGAGCGGGCAACGGCAAGCCGGTGATGGAACCGCAGAGCGGGGCGTTGTCGGGGAGGTTGTACTCGTCCCTGAGGGATCGCTCCGGTGAGAGGACGCTGATGTACATCTCCTGGCCCAGGTACCGCCTCTCCAGCAGCTCTGACCTCAAGTTCCACATGCCCGCATTGTCGAACGTCAACATGATTGCCGCCCACGACTTGGGGAACACCTGGATCGTGTGCCTGCTCACGGCATCGAGAAGGTTGTAGTTCTTCCTCTTCTCGGGGGTCCACCTACCCGGCTCAATGCTGAAGTTACACGAGAAAGGAAATGAACGTGAGTTAGAGTTGTTCAATCAATATTTGAGTCGTCCTATACTTTTAGTGTGAGGCGCGGTTGTCATTGCACGACAATAGGCATAAGCGAAAGAGTACTCACGCGACGGCGAAGAATGAGTAGCCATCGAGGTGCCACGACTGGACACTCTTCTCGTGGTTCTCCAAGATGATCTCAACGAAGGTCCGGAAAGTGATGTT